TTTTAGCAAAATTTGGGGCTAGAATAAAAGGATGAGACGAAGAGGATTTGGCAAATGGAGAAATAACTATTCATCCCCATTCGTGGGACCCATCCACCTCCAAAACATTTTTTAAAAAAATCAATTAAATACTTTTTTTCATTAATTAGAAAAATACATAAGAATAATTTAGGACCAAAATCAACTTCTTAAATAACTCTTACATTTAGAACTAAAGGAGTATCATGAAGTTTTGATTGTACTTATTATAATCTGTTCGTTGAATAGAAGTCTTGTAAATTTAAGCTATTGGAATAAACATTGAAACAAACAAGTGGCTTTAGATATTTGACCCGAAAGAAGAGAAGAAAAGAAAAGGAATTGATTATCCAAAAAAAGAAAACTAAAAGAAGGGAACTATGATAGGACTTTACTCATGAGTCACTAAGTCACTGTATGTGTGTCTCCCAACAAAAATAACTTTTGACAGTTGAGGCCGAAAAAGGAGAGGAGAAGAAACAAGGAAGAATCTAAAAAAAAGAAAAATAATTATTCATCTGATTCTAAATATAAAACCTATTTTATAATGTAATTAAATTTGTAATTTAATTACATTATAAAATAGGTTTTATATTTAGGATCAGAAGAGTACAAAATAAGTTTTAAAGGTTATCATTCTCTATTCTAAAATTTATTGTTACATATTATTCAGATTGTTATTAGAACTTTTTAATAATTAATTTTTTTCCGGACTTGGTTATAATTCTTCCAACAAACAACTTTGGGTCTGTTATTATATTATCCCGTGAAGCCGTACCTGTGGGCGCATTTCACTGTCTGTTCCCCACGCAGAAAATTCCAAAGTTTGGTTTGTTGGAACGATTTTTTATGGAAATGGAACAGGAAAGGGATTCAAAAAGGTGAACATGAAAATGAATGGGAAAGGAAGAGTACTGACCGAAAGAGAACAAGCAAGAGAATAGGAATAAGTTTTAAAATTGTGTTTTGATATATGACAGAAAAAATCAATGAAATGAAATATTGATATATATGTGTGTGTGTGAGACTTTTATTTGAGATTAATTTCTGTTAGATCAGGAAAGTTAAGCTTAAAGTTCTCCCAGCAAAAATACTTTTGAGATTCAAACTTGTGTTTTTTTTTTACATGGCTAAAACTATTTATTATCTTAAGTAACAACTTGTTGATTATTAATTTAATTTTTTTAATCAAGTAAGATAAGATGTTAGTGTTTTCACTCAAGAAAACTAATATTCCTAAAATTCATAAATGATTATCCTTGAATTTACAAGGGTCGATGCATAAATTCATGAAACTATCTATTTACGATTGAATTTTCATTGTAACTATCAAGTATTAATGACTACTTGATTTACATTGATGAATTATATTATAACGAATCATATTATTTATAAATTTTAAATAATGCGACTCATTTTTTAAACTCCTTTTAATACATGAGAAAATGTTGGCCCTATGGTGAATGCTTTTCTAACAACTTTTTCCTTACCACTCACTTTAATCAATATTATTATACATTACTTAATTTTCTTTCCTTTCTTTTGAATATTTTACAAAGTGAGATCACATAAGAGTGCTTAATGGGCTGTAAAGGCCAATTCTAAAGTCTATTAATGCTACGATATATAGAGATGTCTGATACAAATAAAGAAAACAAATTATTCCCAGAATATCATGAAGTTATATAATTATGTGATAAAAGATTGAGAAACTTCACTTTATAGGGAGTGAAAATCATGTTTTTTTTAATTCCCTTTTTCCAATGAAAGCAACCTAGTTTGGAAAATAAAGATCTAAATGTCTAAAGGATGAAGAAATAACTGTGAGAAAAAGGACAGGTTTGAATAAAATGTAGCCGATTCTTGGAGCACACGTTACCCCACCTTATCTCCAAAGACGATTCTCTCCTCTGTGCGTGCGTGTCACAATTGCAAAACAAAAAATTGCAAGAAGAAAACTTGAACATACGTGTCCAATAATGGTGGCTATAAATTAAACCTTCAAGTGATTAAAACAAAAAGGTAAAGATAATTCTTAGATATTGACAGAAACGGAATCAACAAGAAATGGGCTGCCATAGTCCTTGACTTTGTGCGTCTCCCACTAAGCATATAATTACAAATCTAAGAATTACAGTAATCCCTCAACATGAGAAAATGGCTATGTAGATTTCAGTGTTGCCAGTCCACTGTACGTGTGATAGTGTGGGAGGCAGTAATGGTATTCAGTGTGCTCAGATTTGTGTGAAAGTAATAATCTTTGTCGTATATTACAATAACGTGACGGTCTACGATCTGTAGTAGGTCCTCTCGCAACTTTCTCAACTTCTGATTTTTTTTTTTAAATTTTAAATTTTATATTTTGGCTATGTCCTTGAAACCAGTAGTCTTGAAAAATTTGTTGCTTTTCTAGAGAAAATGGATGAGAGCGTATATTTCTGCAAGAAATTACAACAAACTTTAGACATCAAACCTTCATTCAACATCTAAAACTTGAGCTGCAGAGGTAGAGACCTTGGAACTCAAGTTGCAAGTGAATAAGACTGTATTTTAACTTAGACACAAAATAATTTAAATTCACTAGATATGCTTTTGTGTGTGAATTATATGAAGCGTGTGTATGTGTGAGGAACAAGTCACGTTATGCAAAATTTATAAACAAGATCTTTACAACATGATTCATTCTTTCGGGAGGAAAAAAAAAACCATTCTTGGGATGCTGTGGTGCTCATGATCGATTTTCATAAAGAGATTGCGTTTCCAAATGATTGGAACTTTCGTGAGCATATTCTTTTTAAAAGAATATAAATGTCATTTGTGCGAGTCTTAGCTATCTGGTTTTTCCCAATTCTTTTATAAATTTGCGATGACCGAAGAAAAAGTTGAAATTGGCCAACAAAACGTATATTGTTACTGTGAGAATAAATAGAGAATGGATTGGAAACATACGGGGTTGGATCTCGGGTCAGGTCAGTCAGATCCTTCTAGCTCACGCTTAAGCTAGACTATAAAAGTCTAAACTTTTGAGTGCACAGCAGAGCACCTCTTTGCAAGAAAGAAATAAGAGAGAGAGAGATAGTAGGAAAGCTCAACTACTGGAGTGAGTTGGACTGATAGGTGAAAGCCTCTATTTATAACTTTTGTCAAGGGTATTTTGGGAAGCCAAAATATCCACTGAGCCCATCAGGTTAAATCTGAGTTAGGATATATAAATATATCTTTATCTCATAATATCATGATAGTTGAATTCAAATCCAGAATCAATCACAATTAATTCTAAATATATATACTTTATATATTTAATCTATACAATATAAATTAATTAAATTTATATATAATATAAATCAATTAAATTTATATCGTAACCGATTGGATTTGATTCCAGATGTTTGACCGAGTCAAACATATCATAATCTTGCTTGGATATTTGACCGGTATATTTTCTTAAATCCAGTCAAATAGTCCGGCCCATCAAGGGCGGATCCAAGCCCAAAATCCAACATCTCCCACTCGTACTTGATGGGCTGTTCATCGTGTGATAGCTAAATCTTTCATTACTTCATACTAGGTGTTTGTCGTGACCGCATAGGCATGACGTCATCGATTCGGGTGCTTGTGCACTAGGATTCATTTATACAGGGCCAGCACACAAGAACACCCTTGGTGTATCTGCAAATTGTATGCTTGTTGCTTGGCATGACCTAGTTTTATCCATACACTTTACTTGTGGCATATCTAATCCCTCTCGAGTTATTTTGTTTACTTAGATTGCCTTCCTATACGTATGGTATCCACACTTGCTTAGTTGTTCTGTTCAACCTACAAGGGACATGTCACAGACACCAACATAGATGTCTACTTCAGGATAAATCCTCCTTCTGACTATTCATCATTTAGATTTTGCATAGTTGCTTTCCCAGTCTTGACCCGTTAGATCACATCATTCTTGACCATGGGGTTTAGGCTAGAGTAGCTATCACTAAACCAAACCCCTTGTGATGCTATCTAAGTCTTAAAGGCATTATGAAAGGTTTATTTCCTTTTTGGGACTTACACCGTAATGGATCAGGGGTCTTCCATCTACGCTCCATGTTGCAGATTTGAGTGAGCTCATGTAGTATGAATTGCATGCTACATTGCTCGATCCACTAAGTGGAGCATGTCGCTTTTGGTTTTAGTAGCACCATACAGACTTAAGTTCCAAATGCACTCCAACATTTGAACCAGGAGCTTTTTTATCACAACTATATATGATGTCTTACAAGTAAAAAGTTTCTCATCTAGCTACAGGTCTCATGGATTACACATTATCCATGATTCGACCCAAACTTTTATAGGTCTCATCTCAGTCTAGTTGATGCGATATTTGTGTAGTGATTCTTCTCTACCATCTCATGGTGATCATCTGCTGTCAAACCTTTTATATCCCATGAGAACACAATGAGGCAGTTGCTCATGTGAGTAAGCCAATCTTGTGACCTGTACGACATATTGGTGTTGTATACCTCGTGCCTATGCATGTATAAATATACAAATGTATACACAAGAAAATTTCTTTGAACTAGATAAAATGCATTGAATTACTAAGTAAGAGGAAACAAAAAGAAAGTTCAGTATAATATGTCTTGTGCTTGCGTAATTGAACAAGAAAAATGATCAAAAAGAAAAAGAAGTTCAATACATCATGCTTTAAGCATGCCCAAGGCCTTTACATGCTTGACAAAAGGATCTCTAGCTATAAGCTTGGTTAGGGGATCTGCCAACATCTTATGAGTGGACAAGTATTGAACTGTCACTTGTTTCTTAGCGATCATATGCATTACAAAGTGATATTTTATGTCTATATGCTTAGTACGATTGTGGTACTTAGGGTCCTTTGCATAGGATATCGCTGCTTGACTATCACAATGAATTAGAGTTGGTCCCTCACTACCACCATGGATTCCCAATCGTACTAAGAATCTTTTGAGCCATACAGCTTCTTAGACAGCTACAGAACATGCTACATATTCTACTTCCATGGATGAAAGAGACACACATGTTTGTTTCTTGTTGCTCCAAGAGATTGCTCTGTTGTTCAGTAGGAAAGCATAGCCTAACATCAAGTGTCTCTCATCCAGGTCTCCTGCCCAATCAGCATTGGAATAACCCTCCGCACGAAGGCCGTTTCCTTGATAGTGCAACTCATAGTCCATGGTTCCTTCTAGATATCTCATAATCCTCTTTATAGCTTCCCAGTGTTTTACTCCTAGATTGGATTGGAATCGGCTCACAAGTCCAACTGCGAAGCATATCTCCCGCCTGGTACACAACATAGCATACATTAGGCTACCAACGGCACTCGAGTATGGGACTCTCTTCATGCGTTCTATATCGTATTTTTTTATAGGGCGCATTTCCTCACTTAGGTTATGTCCCTTAACCACAGGGGTATCCATAGGCTTACAGTCTCTCATATTGAAACGCTCAAGAATCTTTGCTATGTATGCCTTTTGTGACAATGACAGTAATTTTCTAGAACGATCTCTTCTTATCTTAATGCCTAAGATATATTCTGCTTCGCCCATGTCTTTCATCTTGAAGTTCAAGGATAACCACTCTTTGATCATCTTTATTAGTTTGAGATTGTTACCAGCTAGGAATACGTCGTCGACGTAGAGGGATAGAATGACAAAGTTATCTCCAAACCACTTGATATAAATGCAGAGATCTTTCTTGATCATTTTAAAGCCATAGGAACTTATAGCTTTGTGGAACCTTAAGTACCACTGCCTAGATGATTGCTTGAGTCCATAAATGGATCTCAAGAGTTTACAAACCTTTTGTTTGTTCCCTTTCTGTATGAAGCCCTCAGGCTGTTCCATATAGATTTCTTCATCTAGTTCTCCATTCAGGAAAGCAGTTTTTACATCAATATGATGTAACGCTAAGTCTAAACTTGCTACTAGAGCCAGTATTAGTCGTATCGAGTTGAAACATACAACAGGTGAGAAGGTGTCTCCATAATCCACTCCTTCCCGTTGTGTATATCCTTTGGCAACTAACCTTGCTTTGGGTTTATCAATTGATCCATCAGCCTTACTTTTGTACTTGAGAATTCACTTGTTCCCAATTGCCTTCCGGCCAGGTGGTAGATCAACTAATTCCTATACTTGGTTGGACTCCATGGAATCTATTTCCTTTTGTAAGGCCTTTTGCCATTTTTCCTTAGCAAGCCCTGTTAGTGCTTCTTTAACACTTACGGGGTCTTCTTCATCGTTTTATGGACTAAAGATGAAGGTTGCTCCTTCAATTGAGAAGCGTCTCCTAGGAGTTTTATCTCTGTTACTTCTTCCAAGTAGGGTTGCTGCAGGACTTTCTTCCTGTGGCTGAGTTAGATCTTGTTGTGAAAATGATTCAACCCTCCCACTCGGATTAGTAGACTAAGGAATACTTTGTTGTACCTCATTGCTATCATTCTCATAAAGACAGCTTGTTCGATCAATACTCCCTCTGCTAGGAAATTTGGTTTCTATGAATATTGCGTCCCTTGACTCTATCTCAGTCACTGAGCCCTCATCATTTTCACTAATAGAGACATACGCCTTAGAGTTCTCCGAGTATCTTATGAAGATACACTTTTTGCCCCTCGGTTCTAACTTGTCATACTTATTGGAAGAATCACGAATGTAGGCCATTGACCCCCATGGTCTTAGGATGATTAGATCTAATTTGTGGTTTGTCCATGATTCATAAGGGGTTGTTGTGACTGATTTAGAAGGCACTCGGTTACGTATGAATGTGGCAGTTAAAAGAGCATCTCCCCAATATGAGGTTGGAAGCTCAGCTTGTGCCATCATTGATCTAACCACATCGAGAAGAGTTTTGTTTCTCCTTTCAGCAACTCTGTTTTGTTGAGGAGTGCCGGGGATTGTTAGTTGCCTAATAATACCACTTTTTTCACAAAGCTTCTTGAACTAATCAGAGAAGTATTCTCGATCTCGGTCAGTTCTTAAGGCTTTGATTCTTGAACTTAGCTGATTTTCCACTAGATTGAGATTTCTAAAGCACTCTAATGCCTTAGATTTGTGAGAAATCAAGTAAGTATAGCCATATCGAGAGGAATCATCGATGAAGGTAATCAAATACATGCTCCGTGACGTGCCCTAACACTCATTAGTCCGTAAATATCAGAGTGTACCAGTTTAAGAGGGTGGTTAGCCCTGGTTGCCTTTCCGAAAGGTTTCCTTGTGCTCTTGCCAGTGAGGTAATGTTCATATAGAGACATTTTCTTTTTAGACACGTTTCCTAGCAAACCCTCTTTTGCCAGTTTGGTCATGCGTTTTTGACCAATATGTCTTAATCTAGCATGCCATATATCGTAATTGATATCAAAAGAAAGTGCATAGCAAGAACTACAAAAATTGTCATTGAAATTCTCTCAAACAAAGAAACCATCCGAAACATAACCAGAAACTGAAAAATTGGTCCCATACGAAATGTCTACTATGAAATCATGAAAAAAGACATTGAAATGAAATTTAACTAAGGAAATAACAGACACAAGATTTCGTCGGATTTCCAGACCGTAGAGGACATTTTACAAGACTAGGGTTTTTCCTCCATGTAGGGTCAGCTCACAAGTACCGATCCCTTTAACTTCTACTCTCGCATTGTTTCCAACATAAAGCCATCTGCTTCTTGCTGGTAACTGACGAAATTCTGTGAAGTTGCCACGATCCTTGCTCACGTGGTTTGTGGCCCTTGAGTCCATAACCTAAACAGGATTAGTTTCAGCAATAAACGCAGTGCTAGAAACATAAGAGAAATGTATCGAATTTAAATCCAATACCTTTTTCTGCTTAGGGCAGTCCTTGGCATAATGCCCCTTCTGTTGGCAAGCATAGCATTTCATAGTTGCTATGTTCCACTTCTTTGCAGGTTTCTTGCCTTTCTTGAAGGAATTCTTTCCCTTCTTCACTTTAGGGCCACCTTTCTTATTTTGAGAGCATTTACTTCTCTTGGATTGGTTTTGGGAGGCTGACCCTCCTTTTCCTTCAGTTAAATATGCCTTACCGACAGGTTTCACAGTTTTCATTCGGTCATCCTCCAGTTGGAGGTGGCGAGCTATATCAATAATGGTTTTTATACTCTCGTTATGAGTAATGGTATGCCTCATGGTGTCCTAACTTACTGGGAGAGATCTCATGACATCTTGAATCTGTTGCTCATCAGATAAGGCGCCTCCGGCTTCCTTAAGCTCCCTGATCATGTTCTGCATTGCCCTTAGGTGATGCCTTATGGGAGTGTTAGGACCCAACTTGAAATTGTTAAGTTTGACGGTGAGTCTCCTAAGCCTTGCAGTAGAGGTACTGTCAAATTCGGATTTCAGTGCCGCCCACATGGCAGAGGTGGAAGGGTGTGTTTCGAATTGCACCAATACATCATCAATCATGGCACTTAGCATAGTAATTCTGGTGATGGTATCCCTTCTTTTCTAGCCCATATAGCCGTCCTGGTCCCTTTGTGATGCATTTGCCTCATGCTCTGAAAGAAAAGTTGTCAACACATCAGTGACTTCTTGTTCTTTGAGGACGTATGATATCTTACGATGCCAAATGCTGTAGTTATCTCTGTTTATCTTGTCACCTCCTATGAGGTCAGCTATGATGGACTTGATTCCTCTTTGAGACATCATGCTATCACATAGACAACAATACATTTTAGTATGGTATGCAACATACACGTTATTCAAGTAGGTCATAGATCGTTCGGGTAAGAGTCTTGCCATTTTCATGATTAGGAGACAATTAGGTTGGCTCCCATCCCATTACTCCTGGTTAGCCTCTCACTTTTCTTATCTCTGACTTTCCTTGAACATATCCCCAATTTGAGTTTTCCTCATGAAACTCCCACTCAAATAAAGCATTTATAATAATAATAAAAAACTTTATTAATGAAGCATAAATGCTTACAAAGATTTGGATAATTCAAAAATACAGTCTCAAAGAGTAAATAAAATGAAAAAGGAAAAATAAACATGAACAAAAACTCATTCGTTTATGATGTATTTTATCATGGGTTCTCTCAAACTCTCTTTAACGTCTTTCCAGTATCTACAAAGATTTTGTTTAAAAAAAATCCTTCACTAAATATGTGTCCCCTCCTTGCCAGTTCCTCTTTGTATTGGATTACAATGTTTGAGAAAAAGAGTGCATCTTGTTCATTAGTAATTTGTTTAGCATAATAACTCAATTTTGAAAACAGACATTTTTTATGCTTGTATTCATCAGCATGCTTTTTTGCTATTTGTTTAACTAAATTTATGTCTTAAGTCTGCAAACTTCTTCCTCTTGTTGATCAGGAACACATTTCCTTTTACCACTGCTCCCCTCAAGTACATTAGAACTCACTCATGATTGAGGTGTTTTTCTTTTATTTGTACTTTCTTCAGTATAATTATTTGAAGACTTTGGAGCATCAGAAAGAGGAGAATAACTTGGATATATTTCAAAAGAATGGTTAGACTTTGAGATTGCCATTTCCCAAACCAAAAAAAATTTAAGTTAAGAAAATATAAAAATAAATATTTAAAACATTTATTTGCTATTTTTCATACCCAAAAAGTCATTAAAAATAAGCACATAATATATCAATTGTGGCTTATAGTTTTAGAAATATTTCAGGCTAAACGGGGTCCAAAATAAACCCTCACGCGCCCTCACGCGTCCTAAGAAGCATTCCCAAAAAAAAATTTTAAAACAAATAAAGGGGGGAGGGTCGCCTACTCTCGGGATTCGACCTCTCGCCGTCACCAAACCTATTCCATTTGATTCCTCACATCTTAAGGAGTCTATACATGTGCTTTTTATGAGCAAAGGGACCCTGGGTGGACTCCACACGCCCACTTGGTGCGTTTTTAGAAAATAAAATTTTTTTTAAAAGAATATTTATTTAAAAAGATTTTTTTGGGTCGGGTCGATCCACCGACTTGACTCCATGGTGAATCCGGGTTGAGTTAACGTGGAACACTGCGTTTCATGACAACCCAAAACGACGTCATTTTGGGCTGTGGAGGTCATCCCTGACCTCTAGCTGGGTTGACCCGAACCCGGCTAGAGCTCCAGTGGGTGTGTCATGACCTGCCAACTTCCAACCTCCATAACTTCCACCTCCGAGCTTTGTTTTACTCGTCTATGAACTTGTATTTTCGTGTTCTACTACTCTATGGGTTCATTTTCTTCAAAAAACATCATTTTTAAAGACCCAAAAACTTGTTCATATGGCCGACGATGGAGCTTTTGAAAAATGGATTTCATGACGTTTTTGATCCATTACGGCATTACATATAGTATTTTCGAGCTTCAATTATATAGTTAGGGTATATTTTTGAATTTAACTCACAAGTATATGCTCATTCAAAATTAAAAAGACATAAGGGCATACTAACAGCGTAGCGGAAAATAAAAAAATAGAGCCTGAATAATATATGCATACGTACATATATTTAAAGCCTCAAAATTATCGTGGCTCTGATACCAATGTGAGAATAAATAGAGAATAGATCAAAAACGTATCGGGTCGGATGTTAGGTCAGGTCGGTCGAATCCTCCTAGCTCACGCTTAAACTAGACTATAAAAGTCTAAACTGTTGAGTGCATAGCAGAGCGCGCACCTCTTTGCAAGAGAAAAAATAAGAGAGAGAGAAAGAGAGAGATAGTAGGAAAGCTCAACTACTGGAGTAAACTGGACTGATGGGTGGAAGCATCTATTTATAGCTTTTGTCAGGAGTATTTTGGGAAGCCAAAATATCCACTAAGCCCATCAGGTTAAATATGAGTTAGGATATATAAATATATCCTTATCTCATAATATCATGATAGTTGAATTCAAATCCAGAATCAATCACAATTAATTTTAAATATATATACTTAATATATATTTAATCTATACAATATAAATTAATTAAATTTATATATAATATAAATTAATTAAATTTATATCGTAACTAATTTGGATTTGATTCAGGATGTTTGACCGAGCCAAACATATTATAATCTTACTTGGATATTTGACTGGTATATTTTTTTAATATCCAGTCAAATAGTCTGGCCTATCAAGGGCGGATCCAAGCCCACAAGCCCAGAATCCAACAGTTACCATCATGCATGTACACATAAAAATTATAAGACATCTTTTTGTTCCTCCATTTGGCATTTAGTTGCTATAGCGATAAGACAAACAAAAGTAAAGAAACTTTCCACGGGTGAATACACTAACGCCTTCATTTAAAGGTGCATGATTAATGCATGAACTCAGTTATATTATTGTCTTTGTTACTATATTATTCTCGTCATCTTTATTCGATGTGCTCTTACACGATTCTCCATTTAATTATAATCATGAGATAAGGTCATCAATTGATTGAGTCACTTCTTAATGCATGATGAATGCTTTAATTATCAAGAAAAAGGAGTGAGCAGATTCTTCTTTCCTTTCTTCATTCCTTTCCTTTGATGATTCCAAATTTGGAGGGCTGTGTTATACCTACGTTGCAGGAAAGTCCTCATTATTGAATTGTCACGTTTATTATTAACAAGGGAAAATGACCCGAAAAAAAGACCATGTAAATTACAAAATTCCAGATCAGTATTATTCATATAAAAATGTGTTGTTATTTGTAAATCAAGTATTGTTAGAACGGTAATGAATCATGATTTAAAATGTAGTCATTCTTTGTCATTCTTCCTATTAACAATCAATATATAATTATATGCTTAGTGGGAGACCCACAAGTCACGAACTACATTATCAACCCATCTCTTGATTTCATTTTTTTAATCAATGTCTAAGAATTATCTGTACCTAGTTTTTATTAATCACTTGATGATTTATAGCCATCATTATTGGACTCGTTCAAGTTTTGATTCTTGCAATTTTTTGTTTGCTTGTAATTGTAATAATAACGTAGCGTGTTGTTTACCCTTTTGTTGTTCAGTTTTTGTCAAAGCCATGTTGCAGAGATATGAAGAAGTACGTATTAAGTGAAAGTAATAGGAACGATACAGCACAATACACATTAAATGTGATAGATTCATAAATTTTAAACATTTGGATATAATATATAAAATAAATTAACCCTGCCAAAAATGATAGGCAGTGTAAAAGAATATTGAATTTTAAACAGTCATTTTTCCCCAGTGAACAGCATCTTTTTTTTTTTTTTAACCAGCAGTGAACAGCATCTTGTGTTTGGAGATAAGGTGGGGTAATATGTGCTCCGAATCGGCTACATTTTATTCATCCTTGTCCTTTCACACAGTTATTTCTTCAACCTTTAGAAATTTAGGTCCTCATTTTTCAAAACTAGATTGCTTTAAAGTAAAAAGCTAGATCATATAAGATCTGGAAAACGGAAGTTTAACTCACCATAAAAGTGACGTTTCTACATGTTTTACCACAGCATTATATATCTTCGATCGTGACATTCCAGGAACAACTTTTTTTTTTTTGGGGCGTATTAGAATTTAGATTCGACAAGGAAAGAAAATAACAAAAGAAGAATTAGACTTTACAGCTCATTAACCTCAATCATGTCATCTCACTTTGGAAACTATTCAAAAGGACTGAAAGAAATTAGATAGTGTCGAGTAATATTGGTTGGGGCGAGTTTTGGAACCTAGTATGAATATAAAAACTCATGTTGGAAGGGCTTTTCAATAATTATGGAGCCATGTCACTCAAATTTGGCTTGGTCGGTGATATCATACCTACATATAATATAATTTGTCACAAAATAAAAAGAAATTAAATCATGTATGTTGATCACGCTGGTCGTATCACACTCAGATTAATTTTAAATTAACCTCTATATATTACAATAATCAACCTAGGTCGATTCTCTACACAGGAGAGTCTATTTAAATTTGGTTCCTAGATTAATTAAGTGCAAATAAACAATTAAGGGAAATATAAGAACTATAAAAAATATTTTTTTGGATTTTTTATGCTATAAATGATGAAAAGGAATTAAGAAAATAAGAAAACAGCTAGCGTAGGATGATCAAGCTTCTTGGAAACATATGCGTGACTATTACAATCCAAACTATAGAGTTAGTTTATTACCCAAAAAAAAAGAGAGAGAGTTAGTTATCTACTAAGTCCCTAACATACAATACTACAAAATATTTAATTTGTAGCGGCTGTTTTATAACATTTATTTAACAAAACGCTACAGTTAATACTCATTAACTTATTAAAAAATGCATATTCTGTAGCACTTTTTTAAAAAAGTGCTACGGTTAATATGGCACTTCCTGTAATGCTTTCTCAAGGAAGGGCTATAGAAACTCCTTTTTTTATTAAAAAAATTATAAATATCTCCTGTAACACTTGGTTAAGAAAAAGCTATAGGAGATGACACTTGCTCCAGCGTTTTTCAAGTGATGTAAAATTTTTTTTCATTTTCCTCTCTTTTTTCCCCCACATTGTCGTACCTCACTACTCTTATTGCTCATCTTTACCATTTTTTCTTGCTCTCCATTTCACCACAACTCCCTTCTCTCTCCACACTCACCTCCTCCATTTCACTGCGTCCTCACCACTCTGTTCGTACCTCCTATTTCCCCTCCCCACTTCTACTTTCTATACCCATTATTCTCACCCCCTTCTTTTCATCCCCGCCCCAATCCTCAC